GCTCAGGTACTCATTTTGAAGTGAAACTTAAGAAAGTTGTAACGTAAAAAGACAAAAAAAGACAGCTATTGACTGACACGAACCAAGGTCTATAAGCGCAAAGAGGATTGCCCATCATTGACAAACGTCGATATTGACACAGACCAAGGATTATAAGCCTATTATTGACAAGCACCGATAACGTTGTAACGTCACTACAGATGCGCGTCTCTCTTTTGTTATACTATTATCATTGTGTTTTGTGATTATTTCCGTTAGGTATTTATATATTTGTGTCCAGGGCTGGGATCACAAAAAGTAGAATTCTACTTTCATGACGTCACCCGCGACCTATTAATCGCGTACAATACAGGCGATGATGATGGTTGCTAGGCAACCTGACGTCATCACGGCAAGTAGAATTCTACTAGAATTTTACTTGCCGTGATACCATCCCTGTGCTTTTTTAAGTGAAACTTCTTAGGCGGCGGTCTGATATTTGGACGAGAATGGAGAGTGATTTGAAAGACGCGTCAAGTTTTGTCAAATTTCGTTACACGAGAGAGAAGAATAATATAACGTAGAAGAGGGACGAAGAAAGACAGCCAATGACAATGACAGCTGATTAACGATTGACATAAACCAAGGATTATAAACTATTATTATCAAGCGCTGATACCCTTGTGACGTATCAACAGATGCGCGTCTCTTTTCGTCTTTACCCCGACTCAAGTGCAAGTGTGTAGTGCTAGTATTTAGTTGCCGAATTGAAACGGATCTGTCGAGTGATTAGTGTTAAGTGATAAGTGCAAGCTACAAGTGCAAATTAAATAGTGTTCTATTTTTCTGTTCAGTAATGCCGTTTTCGATTGGTAGTGTCAATGCGCACTGAGTGTACCTATTTGCATTTTTTGAATCGACCTGTAGGCGGCGGTCTGATATTTGGACGAGAATGGAGAGTGATTTGAAAGACGCGTCAAGTTTTGGAAAATTTCGTTAGACGAGAGAGAAGAAAAATATAACATAGAGGGACGGAGAACGACAGCCAATGACAATGACCGCCGACGAACTATTGACAGAAACCAAGGATTATAAACTATTATTGTCAAGCGCCGATACCCTTATGACGTCACTACAGATGCGCATCTCCCTTCGTCTTTACCCCGACTCATACGCTTCTGAAAGTTGTATGAGGGGGGGGACAGTTTTTAAGAAGTTTCACTTCCACAACGAAATTAAATTTACAACAAGTTTGGACAAAAGTGACATAACGTTTGGGGAGCAACTCTGAGCTTAGTTTGCTATCTTGCAATAAAATTTCATTAGCGGGTTCGTTCCAAATTAATCATTTCTGGTACGGAACTCATTTTGTGAGTTAGAGTGTAATAATCGGTGCTTATTCATATAAGTTTTTTCCAGGCCCGGATTGGGCCGGCGAGTTACCGAGTAAAACTCGGTAGGCCGGTCACTTCGGTGGGTCGGTCAACTTTGATGTACCTATACCAGTCCAAAAGCTGGGTTATCCGCTGCTTAAATTTAACTTTTGAGTTAGACTAAAAAATAATTATTAACGGTTTTCTTAACTTCCGTTACATTGAACGTTCGTTAACTTAAATCAAATCCGTTTACGTTAGTTAATTACGTTAAATTTGTTTCCTTGAATTGCGCGTCAAGGTCAACTGTGACAGTTCGCACAGGCGCAGAAAGATTTCAGTTCGCTCTTTTGGCACAGTTTTGGTTTCTGCACTACGCAGTTTGGAACTGTTCTTGAATGATTCTGACTCCAAACCCGATTCCATACAGTAAGATCGCTGCGCAAGCCCTTAGTTCTGTTGTTAGGAGGCTGTGCGCTGTGCTGTGACGTACCTATCATTGGACTGTGGCTTCGTCTGCATAGTTCTATAACCTCATCGTTTTTTTGCAGAGGTAAATGGTAAATAAAACTTTTCAATTAACTTTGCCCACCTTTGTCACCTTTGTATACCACTCACTCCACATTATTGATATTTTGAAAGATTAATTGAATTTTCCTTGGAAAAGTCTATATTTTTGCATAGATGAAATTTCTTAAGGACATTCTAACCGTGCGTTCGGTATTTGAATCTGAGTTCTCCGAGCTTGAATTCACCGTCTGCTTATTTAAAGAAGTGTGCTAGGTGCAGGCTCATTTGCGTTCGTTTATTAAAATTTCGAGCGCTTTGATACAGCATTTAACTGCTCTGTGCGCTCGCTAGCAACGACGTAGCTATAGCTTTTTCATGGGGGGGGGGGGGTTAGAGCAGTGGCGGCTTGTGGTCTGAGAAGGGTTTCAATTTTAGATCAGACGATGTACCTGGCAAATAGGGACGCCACCTTTGAAAATAAGTTGAACTGAGGAAAAAAAAAACGTTCATTGAAAGAAAAATGAGAAACAAAAATCCTTCAAATCTGATAACAGATGCATTACACTCTATACACAAGTCCCCTTCGGCATCTCCGGATGTTGCTCGATGTTGAATTAGTTTGGATTAGTTGAGTTATATCGGTTTCCATTTGTCGAACCAGTGCAAAAAAAATGTATCCTTAACCTTACATGTTACATGCTTTTAGAAAAAGATGCGAATACACTCAGTGCGCACTGATTGACAAATGGAAATCGCCATTAGTTGAGACGATTAGAGAGGGAGATCCAAGGATACTACACACTAAACAGGATAGCCTATCCTCATAAGGCGTGTGTAGATCAAATCTCAAGCCCCCACTGCACCACGCCAAAGTACCACTTATGACGTAGGAATCGGGTCGATTCTCGTTTCGACGTAGGGTGTTTGCACCACAGGCTATCATTCCCCTGGCTTTTGCTTTATGCATACTTGTGTTACTACATTAATTAACATTCTAAAAGAACCCTTTTCAGATCTCGTCTGCATCTTTCTCGTTGCCTATTATGTTAATCAAAATTAAATAATATTTTTCATCATAAATGTATATTCTAAACTACGACCGCTGGCGCAAACAGTTAACGACACCGTTGATAATGTCACCAACGGTGGAACACCATATGACCTTGATTCCAAAAATCAAGGCCGATGAGCAATCCTGTAGTAGTGTATATTATCGTTGAGGGAGACCGTACGTAACGACGACGCGTGCGTTTCGAAGAATTTTTCCTGGGGAAACAGAATTGCGCTCTTGCTTACCCAGAGAAAACACCTAGTAATCCGTAGCCCGGAGACCATAATAATATGCGAAAACCCGTAGACTCCGGGTGAAACCCGGAGAGCAACCCTACAATGGCATAGTCGCCGGAAGATATCGCCGAAGGCGAAACATTTTCTCGAATTCCACGCCCAAAAACGTTTATTTATCTTAAAAAAAAAAGAATTTATTCAGTTCAATGGGGGGGGTTTGAACCCCCAAAACCCCCCCCTTATATACGTCCTTGCTCGCTGGTCACGTGATCACGGCTCCGCTTCAGCATGCTCTGCGCTTTAAGCAAGATACCGAATGCAAAGTAAGGTGTCAGGAGAACGCGTGCCCTTGAAAATTTTCAAAATTTCCGCCTGCGGCGCTAATAGGTCTGTTTCTGCGGAAATCACAAACCAATCAGAGCGAATTTCATTGGTTGAAAACAGTCAGAAACAGTCAGCAAACTAGTTTCAACCAATGAAATTCACTCCGACTGGTTTGTGTTATTATTAGGAAAGCACAAATCATCAATCAATCGATAGATCACTGGGTGGACCGATATAAAAACTGCAACTCGGGCCGAAAAAAATTCCCAATCCGGCCCTGGTTTTTTCTTTACTGACGTGATTTAGATATACCGTTCGAAAAATTGAGTATCGGTTATCCAGCTTCCGACCGCGAAAGGATATAATACATACTATTACTACAGGATAGCCCATCCTCATAAGGCCTTTGTAGAACAAATCTGAAGCCCCCGACCTCGCCAAATCACCAGTTGTGACGTAGGCTGTTTGCACCACAAGTTATGATTCTGCAGGCTTTTGCTTTATATTTGGTTTTACTACATTAATCAACATTCAAACAACTATTTTTTAGATCTCGTTTGCATCTTCCTATTTGCCTATTATGTTAATCAAAATTAAATAATATTTTCCATCATAAATTTAAATTCCAAACCATGATCGCTTGCGCAAACAGCTGACGTCGCTGACGACTTAATTGATGTCGTTGGAAATGGTGATACACCAATATGGCGGCGATCACTAAAAACGAGGCCGATAAGCAATTCTTAGTAGTGTGTTTTATCCTTGCCGACCGCGCCCGCAGTTTGACAAACCTGCTGTTATTATATAAATTGCAAAAACGATTAACGATTTATCGACTCACCCAATAATATACAGGGGCAGATTTAGTTAGGTACTCACTTGATTGCCCTAAAAATTTCTATCAGTGAAAGCTACCTTGATACGTCACATTTCATCGTAGCATAATGTCTAAGTGTAATAAAATAAAATGAAAACCGCCAAGCTGAAGGAATAATTTTGGGCAAGTTTTTAAAATCATCAATGTTACATGCGCATTTTCACCGATGTAATGCTGTCTTTGTCATTTGACAGCAGCAAAACAAGGATATGTTGCCCATCAGGAGAAATGCGCAGAAGCAATTGATGAATTTAAAAACTTGCCCATTGTGTTTACGCAATTTTCTCAAGCCCGGTTCATCTTCTTCTATCTTCATCTTCAGATGAACTTGCTGAACTATCTGCAAGATAAATTTACCGTTCTATAAAAATCTATGTAATGGGATTACAGATTGTGTTTTTATCTGTCAAATTGCATACCTATCAGTTTATCAGAAGGTCAATAAACCGGCCATCAATTTTTTATCCAAGGAGATGGGAGCTTGCTTATTGAAAAAAAACTAATCCTCCAAAGATTTACGCATAGTTTTCCAATTTAGAGGCGTTTGTCACACTTACCTTTGATAATTCTTGCTATAGGTAATGATGTGACCTGTGACCGCATCAAATTTTTTGTTGAAAATATAGTTGAAAAAAAAAAGCGCATTTTAGGGATCTCCGGAAAGCCACAAACTGTGGGGTGGACGCTTCACACGAACAACTGATCCGAAACTGGAAAAGCTAAATTGCTCCCTTAATTTGGACAGAAGAATGTACGCTGAAGACATTGAGGGTAGCCAAGCGTACGCTCGAGGACTAAGCAAAATTGGTTTGTTAACAGAAATGGAAAATGATCAAATTTGTAGTGGGTTAGATGAAATCAAAATTGAATGGGACCACAACGAATTTATTGTGAAAAGTGGGGAAGAAGATATACATACAACCAATGAGAGAAGGTTAAAGGTAAAAATTATATAATTTTCATTATGATAGGTACATATTTTACTATGAAAATGTCTATGGTACCGCAAGTTGTGAAATTATTTTTCGCGCGGATATTAGTTTATGAAAAATGCCAAATACCCATAAAAAATACAAAATTTCTATCCGCACGCATTAGGAACCTTTAGTTTATAAACACTTTTTTTTTTGTAGGATATATTTTTGAATTATCGTTTGCTCTTCCTTCTTCAACTTCGTTCGTTTTCTTGTATTCTTCTGCTAATCTGGGTTCAATTCCTATTATTAGAGAGTCTCGTGCTGTCCAAATTCCAAATACCGTAACGTTATTTGACAAGTATGACAGTTCTTACCGTATTAGCGTTAGCGGAGCTCGCTACCTAACGGGACTTAGCGGATGCCTTACCGTAACGCTTTGCTATGTCAAAATTAGTTTGCGTTGCATTTTTTCCATTTACGTCTGCAAAAACAGCAACTTCTAATAATTCCTCCATAAAAAACACCAATTAATGAAATTCAGGATAAATAAGTTATTAGAAAACAAGCAAAAAAAAAGTTGGGTTAGCTGCCAAAATGTAAACAGAATAAGGGATTAGAGTATTTTTGTATCTTCGTGTCCGAGAACTATAAAATACCATGTAAAATACCGTATTGTTAGCGGTACCGTATTAGCGTAGCGTCTGAGGCACGAGAACTTTCTATTATGTAATGTACTAATATTACCCACTACTGCGCCTACTCTAGAGAATGTATTTAACTGAAAGCTGTAGGAAAATCGAAACCTTTGGATGGCAGTTGTTGTTCCTCACTATTCATATAATGTAGAACAAATTTCCTTACCCAAAAAAGATATGCAGGACCTCCCTAATTAACCTCCAAAATTTAAACTTTCTGAGAATCTCATTTACCTACGTAGCTATAAAAATTTAATTGGAAGTATATTTTGAATAAAAAATAAAGAAATTAATTGATGAGTCGAAAACCACTAGAGATAGGTAAGTATAGGAAAGTATTATACAAAAATATTTACTAACCAATAGCGGAGCGGAAGCAATAATATACCAGGTGTCGTCTTTGGAATACATCAAACTTTGTATTACTTTTTAGTATGAGCGGCAACGTCGCACCGTTGAAAATTTAACCAAACAACAAAAATAATTTGAGATAGCAAAGTGGGAATTCCAAAAGAGTGCCCCATAATCTATGCAAATCACAAATTTCAAAACTTCCGGAAAACTTTCCAGGCTAATACGCCTATACTACTTCACTGCTGTCTACTTGTACCTTATACCAAAGTGTTAACTATAATATTCTTTGCTTATACCCACTAGGTAGGTATACTGTTTCCTTTTGATTGAAAACAGGGTGAGCATTGTGACCTTCTTCAATTTAATTTCAATTTTATCTTTCAATAATATAAATTTCAATTAAAAAAACTAACTTTACCATGATTTACATTGTGACATAAAACTTTTACACGATATTTCATACTCAATTTTTTATTATTGATAGAAAAAACAAACTACTTACTGTAAATCATAAACTCACCAGAAGCCCTCAAGAAGAATAAAAAATAGCTCCGAAAGCTCGGTTTTGGTAAAGAGCTGAAATAAAGAAATCAACGTTTCCCAATTATTAAAAAACTATAAATTATCAACGGTCGTTGTCCATGAAAGGAAACAGAGTATACTTTTAAAGAGTATGAGTTTCTCTTGGATTTCTTGAGCATTTTCTAAGCATAAAATAGTTCGAAAAACGCCCAAATATTATAGAGTAAAAACTGTTTCCGCAAATTATTTCAAAATAATTGTCAAAAGCCGAGGATCCAGAAACTATTTTTGTCGGTTTACGCTTACGCGGAAGCTTGTGGGTCAATCCGTGGCCGCCAAGGAACGAGGGAAGCAAGCAAAAGTCTAAATTTTGTATTAGGAACATAGCAAATGTAGCAAACCTAGTACGAAATCACGTTTGATGGAGCCTTGTCAGTCAAAAAATCAAACTAACTAAGAACAAGCTGTACTATAATGTACCTCGGCTATCAGGAACGTAGGAAGTAAACAAGGTTAGGAGGTAACTTCGCTCTGCTATTATTCAGCTTACATGATTCTTGACTGTGTGGCGGATGCATTATATCAAAAAGCGATGGCATTCGATTCGAATGCTATCTATAGAAACATTAGTAAATTTACTTATTTTCTCATGTATCTGCAGACCGTGTATCATTTCTAGATTCCTGATAGCTCAGTTGGCTGGTGAGAAATGGTTGAGGTGCACTGAAAAAATGGTGTCGATGGTCCTCTAATCTAGACTGTGGCATTATTGCGGTGTCAAGTGGATTGAGTAATTTTTAAACGGGATGCCCTGGAAAAAAGCATCAAAAAATCTATTCATCCAAGCAAATACACCGGACCTAAAATTTTGGGGTGAAAACTATTTAGGCAAATTATTTTAAAACTGTCAATTTTCGACGAACGGTTGTGGCGGCACAGTAGTGATGCAGGAAGGAAGCAAAAGTCCAAATTTTGTAATAGGAACATAGCAAATTTAGAACTAAACACAACTATTGCTACATTCACTACTAGGATGGGATATCTTCTCGTCAAAAAATCAAACTTTGAAAAGCAAAAGGTGTTATATGCTTCTCGGTTATCAGGAACATAGGAAGTACACAAACACTTTTCTCCGTTATTATTCATCCATCATACATCATTCTTGGCTGTGTGCTGAATGCGCAAGGGAACGTTCCGCCGAATTCGAAAGCACACGAACTGTAGTTTTATTTATATTCTCACGTATCCTTACAGTGTACAATTTCTAGACTCCTGATAACTCATTTACTTTCGACTGATGAGGATTGTGCATCGAACAACATGGTTTGTTTACATTGATCGATTGTGAAAAAACTTACACTTAAATTAATTTATTCAGTTGACACTTTTGGATTGGATTTCACACAAAGATTCAAGGCAGATTTCGCTTATTATCTATGTCCTGTACCTAAACTCAGTCGTTTTCTTGACCTATTTAAGTTTTTATGTCAAAAATGACGTAAAATAATTATCAATTTTTTCTTTAAGGAAGCCTTCATCATGGATTAGGTACTTGCTTGTTGAAAAGGACCTACTTCATTAGGTTTAATTATATTTTGATAATTTTTGACACAGAGTAAATAAGATATTACAAAATTTTGGAATTTCAGATTGAATAGTGGAATATGGAATGACGAATGATTATGGCGTTTTGCCAATTTTTTCAATTTAGTGAATGGGATCCGTTATTCCTTGCTATAGGTAACTTTAAAAAAGTTATTTTCTTTGTATTAATTTGTTGCTTTCGAATATCGTGTTTATATTTTTATGGTAAGTGTCCGACTATACAGGGTGTTTTCTAATTGAATGTTAATATTTGAGGAGGCGATTTTTGGGTCCATTTTAAAAGGAAAACTTCATATGAAGTATGAAGTTATATCTTGAACGTCTTAACTTTTGAGATACCAGGGTGATATATTTAATGAAATTCAGCATACATGTACTATAGTACTATGTATCAAGAGGCATTTTTTAATGTACCACATGTTTTTAAATTCCCATCCGTGACCTTTTAAGCAAAGTTAATCATACCTAAAATAATAAAATCGATTTCTCTGCATGGTGAGTACGTCATATTAACGATATTGTCATGAATATGCAGAGAAACGATTTTAATTTTTTTAAGCGAAAACCGTGCATCGGATTGTAAAAAATCAAGTGATCAACTTTGCTTAGAAATGATTGGGGATTTCAAAAATAATTTTTATTTCAAGAGAAATCAGTGGCGTACCATAAATGTCTGCCAAATTAGACAGGTCTAATTTCGTACGAACTCCACTGGTAGAAATTTTAAAAAATATGGTACATTACAAAATACCCCTTGATACATAGTACAGGGCTTTTCCGTATCCGTATATTTTTGCACCCCACTTGAACAGGTTAATAATTGAATAGGTATCAAAAAGGTGTAAATACAAATACAAATATAAACCCTTACCTATTCAAATAACCTGTTTATGCGGGGTGCAAAAATATACGCGAAAACCCTCTACATGTAAGCAAAATTTCATTAAAACATCTAAAGTGGTGTTGTTACCAATGGGTGTTACCTATTATTAAAAATAAATTATTTATTTTTGAAAACTTTATCTATCACCCTGTATCTAAAAAGTAAAGACGTTTTGGACATACGTTCGTATAAAGTTTTCTTCTCAAAAAGGACCCAAAAATCGCCTCCTCAAATATTGACATTGAATTAGAAAACACCTTGTATACGGCGATGACAAATGAGTATCAATTAATTATCGGTTCAAAACAGGAACATTCTGGTATTTTTTAGGTATAGTTTCTGTGCATAGATAGATAGACGATACTATCGAATCGTGGGTTCGGAATCTGGGCCCTGATTCCTGATTCTTCAGAAGTTTGTGTATCATCAGAGTTACTTACTGGTCCAGTTTCGGATGAAGATGGGATGAAATATGTGTTTCCCTGTGTTCTTGCAGTCAGAGAGTTTGGATGTTGTATTTACCAATCATCAAGAGTATTTATCTGTATTTACTTTGCCACATTACATTACTTGATTAACAATTAAGCTGCCTACATAAGTAAATCCATTCAACATCCTCGAAAAAATGATGATGATTAAAATTAAAAAAAGATGATGATTAAATTTAATTTGTGCTCCATGGAAAGTTGCTAATCATCTAAAAATTTTAATACCTGTTGGAGAACAGTCCTAGGGATTTATCTTAAAAACTTACAAAACTCCATAAAGAATCGCACAAAATTGTGATTGGGGTACAGGTACAAAAAACGAAAAAGGGAGGGTATCTTAAGAAGACTATACCTATAGAAACATTATCAAGACAGGGCAGGAGAGGCTGGGTAAAACTCACTCAGAAAAGATCCACATCCACTAACGCTCAAAAAGTTAAAAAACCATAAAGTGAAAACATCTCGTCCAAAACAGATGGACGTGGAGGCATCACAATCTTTAAATGTCACAATTGAAACAAAAAATACAGGGTGAGTCCAAAATAAGTGCGGATTTTGTTATGATAGAGTAGTAACACCGAGAGTAAGACGATCACTTTTTCCATGCGTACATTTGTCGCAAACGTCTCGTTAAGAAAATAAAAAATACAGAATGTTGAAATCTTCGGAAAATCTTAACTTTTTACCTTTAAAGATTCAAAATGCCTCGAGCGATTTAGTTCAAATTTTCAGAGAGTGTTCGCGAAATCTCAAGCATCTTTATAAAAAAAAAAACGATTTATTTCCACTTTTCCAGGACAGGACCTAGAGCGACTCTTATTTTGTTTTTAAAGAAAACAGTAGTACGCCTCTGGGTTTTTCGACAAATTAAAAATTATTTTTTGATTCCTTGTTTAATTTTAAACAAAAAAGGTATCCAGACTTTTTCTTCTTCGAGGCGACGTTTACGAGATAAAAAATAAAAATCAATGTATCGTTTGGAAAATCTCGTTGTTCGATACCTATACTCCACTCTGTCAAAAAAAATAAGAGTCGCTCTAGGTCCGGTCCTGGAAAAGAGGGACTCGGATGGATTTTTTAGAAAGATGCTTGAGAACATTGCAAACACTCTCTGAAAATTTGAACAAAATCGCTCAAGGCATTTTGAATCTAAAGAGGCAAAAAGTCAAAATTTTCCAAAAATTTCAACACTGTATTTTCTCAATGAGACGTTTGCGGATACATGTACCTATGCAAAAAGTGATTGTCCCACTGTATTCTATCTATCAAAACAAAATGCGCACTTATTTCGGACTCACCCTGTATTTTAGATAAGTAAGTGGGCACGTTGACTTTCAACTCTTAAGTAGAAATTTTCTATTTATCTATCTATTTGGACATAGGGCTCCCCTTCATACGTCCAGGAACTCTGTAACGGATAGCGATCAATATCTCTATCTCTAGTGGGGTCCCCTCTCTATTGATTTCGAAAAGAGAGAAGAAGACAGCAAGTGCCATAGCGATAGGGATAACGATCTCTATCTGTTACAGAGTTCCAGCCAAGGCTTCTCTACCGCTGAAGATTTGCATCTTATCTTGGCCCATCGTGTTTCGTTAGATCATCTCTAACTATCGCATTTGTGATATTCATCTGGTATCAATATACCAGCACCAATTTGATAATTCTGAATCATATTGGTATCACAAACTGAGAGCTCTTTGACCCTAGTCTATATACTTGAGGCGCCCACACTAAAATTCTTCGCGTTCTTGGGGAACCATAGAAAAATATTCTAAGGAAATTGTAGGCATAAGGCCATGTCACTATTTCTATAGGAGCTGATTGGTGAACCAGCAACTAAGCTCCACGTTGGAAGAAGCCGAAATGACCAAGTAGTCACCGATATGAAGCTATGGCTAAAAACTAACCTTGCAGCGTTAGAAGTTACTATAAAAGACTTTATTCAAATAATAGTGAATCGATCATTGAAAGAAATCGATATCATTATGCCCGGATATACACATCTTCAAAGAGCACAGCCTGTTCGGTGGAGTCACTATTTGCTTAGGTAAAGACAATACATCTAATTTCTGAATCTGATTTGAACGACGTTTATTTTAGTCATGCATGGAATTTGAAAAACGACTGCGATAGGCTTGAAAATAATTTTAAACTATTGGATATAATGCCTCTAGGAAGCGGGGCTTTGGCAGGAAACCCATTCAATATTGATAGAGAAAGTTTGGCAAAAGACCTTAACTTTTCTGATATCACTCAAAATAGTATGCAGGCAGTCAGTGATAGAGACTTTATAGGTAATACTCCTTTATCTTTCAGCCAAGGCAATAAAACATCTTTTTTTTAGCAAACTTTCTATTCTGGGCCTCAATGGTAGGAATCCACTTAAGCAGATTAGCAGAGGACCTTATTATTTTTAGCTCAAAAGAATTTGAATTTATTTCCATAGATGAATCTTACTCCACTGGAAGTAGTCTGATGCCTCAAAAAAGAAATCCAGACAGTTTGGAATTGATTAGAGGTATCGGTGGAAGTCTTTTTGGACAGGCAAGTTTATCATTTACTACTAAAAAAATTGAGCATTTATTGATCTTTGCTTGCAGTGTTGTAGTTTTATGATGGTGTTGAAAAGTCTTCCTTCGACCTATAATAAAGATTTGCAAAGTGACAAGGAGTCAATGTTTAACACTTTTGATAAACTAATGTCGATTTTAGAGGTAAAGTCAACTTTTTTTTCATTTGAATATTGTCATTATTGGTATTATTCGTTTTTAGGTTTCAGCTGGTACAGTAAAAACCCTAAAAGTCAACCAAGAAAAATGCAAATCAGCGCTAAGCTATGAAATGTTAGCTACAGATGTCGCATACTATTTGGTGCGCAAAGGAGTGCCCTTTAGGTTTGCGCATAATATCGCTGGTCAAGTTGTCGCTGAAGCTGAGAAAAAGAATGTTGATATTTGTGCTTTGACTTTAGAAGAGTTAAAAGCCATCAGGTGAGTGTACAAATGGTGGCCACCACACACAAAATCCATTCCAACAAACGATACTGGCCATTATGTGAAAACTCTTAAACTTCTGGTCAGCATTTGCTTCTTGAGCTGTACCTTCTTAGTTAGATCAAGGGATGAATTCAATATTCTTTTTTAATTTTTCATTGATTTAACAGCCACTTAGGAATGCACGGCCTTTTCTTATTCGTTAGGATATCATAGGACTGAATTGAATTTTCCTATTCATGAATCTAAATTCATGGAAATAGTTCGAGGCTAATTTTTCCAAAGTATCTTGTTTATATTTCGAGAAATAGGTTCCAAGGTGCAGAATCATAAATTTGAATTTTCTGATTGTCCTATTTTATAGGTAGGTAGGTATATATCTAATACTAGTTTTTTTTCTAGTTCTCATTTCGAAGTCGATATAGGAAAGGTGTGGAATTATGAAAATAGCATTGAGCAGTACCAGTCTGTAGGAGGGACAGCGAAAAAAAGCGTCTTGAATCAAATAAATAAATTGAAAAAATGGTTGAATGAGAGGGACGTGAAAAAACATGAATAAAATGTAAATGTTTGATAATAAATGAATGTACTCTCTCAATCCTAGTTCCCGAATTATGGGCACTATATCCTAAATCTCATCAAAATCGGTCTGTAAATCAAATAGATATTCTCTACTTATTCTCTATATTATATTAGCCTGCAATGTATCTGGCGTGGCCCCTTATTATACTCTGATTGTGAAAATGTAGTTGTTTAATTAAAACTTTATTTGAGGCAGATTGTTTTATTTATGCTTTGAGCTTTTGTTACCAGTACCGATTTTATCTTTATCCCTTTCGCGCCCTGTGTCATCTTTGTCTGGAACCAACATTTGAAATATGTACTTCTATTTCTAGTAAAGGTTTATTCAAATTAGTACCTGTCAACATGTAGATACTTGTTCAAATTTAACATTTTGCAAAGGGCTAATTCAAACTCTAAATAATTTTTTCCCGAGCGTTGAAAGATTGCTATATCAAACAACTTTTTTATTTCTTGAAGACTTGATAATTTCTTGATTTTCGTGAAACCAAACACCTTTTACACCAGAAAAAAAAAAGAAATTGAATATTCAAAACTTATATTAATTTGTACCATGCAGGATAGTAGGAAGCGTATTCTGCTTTCCTTAGGTAGGTAGGTATATAAAGAAATATGCATATTAAAAATAAATAAATTAGTCAGTTACAAAATAGGTATATCTAATAACCAATAAGTAATAACAAACCAGATAACTAAAAATTTGATTTCTAGACCATTAAAGTCAAAGTTTATTTTCTAATAACATAAAAGATTTAATAGCTAAATGAGGACTGAAATCCTATAAAAAGATGCAAACTAAAAAAATGATTTTAACTTAAATAAATAATATAAATTTCAATAGCTGAATAAAATTAAGGCCCATATGCCTAGAGGAACAGAAAAAAATTGATCATTTTTTTATGTAGGTACTTACTTTATACTTATTATGTATCAGATAATATGTACCTACTGGCATTACTATATAGATATATAACTTTTCAATCGATCCACACTGACCAAATATACGTCCAATTCAACGACGTCAAATGGACGCTTCATAGACGTCTTAATACAGGGTATTTTATTTCTGAATGGGTCATATTGGGTTTTACATGGAAACTTTTGAACCTGTTGGTTCATGACATGGTCAAATAAACGTCCACTACGTGACGTCCCAAACAAGTCATATTTTGCAACCTCTTTCCGATGTCGAATTGTGGTTAATCTGTTTAAAATCGACGTCATAACGACTAACCTTTGCTGATTGGGATGTTTGTTGGAATAGGAAAAAAGACCTGCTGGAAAACATGCTCCAGCATTTTTAATGTTTGAATGGATTTGGATCAGGGGACTTATTCGCAGATCTGTTTTTGTATTAAAATTGTATTCGCTAACATTCAATGCTCTTTATCTTAGGCCCGGTTTATTCATCTTGAGATAAACTTGCTGGTAACTATTTTACAGATCTATAATCCTGTCGGTCACTGGATAATTGGTTGGCCAATGGGATTACATATTGCGTTTTTATCCTTCAGATTGCATTACCTAAAAGTTTATTATAAAGTGAATAAACCGGCTCTTATATGTATCAAGAGGCTCTTGAAGAGCCGGGAATAGACAAAAATTTGATAATTGAAAAGCAGACATTGAGGGAAAATGGAGTGGATAGGTAGACTTAATAGTACCCATATGTTGTTCCTATTCCAGGCTCTTGAATTTTCTTTATGTAGAGATATTTAGAAATAAACAATTCAAGAGCCAGCAATAGACAAAAATTTAGACACAAAACTTTGAGAATTGAAAATCAGAAATTAAGGGGAAAATCGAGTAGATAAGTAGACCTAATTTAAGTAGGTATATTGTTTCTATTCTAGGCTCTTGGAGTTTTCGTTATGTAGAGATATTTAGAAGGAACAATTCAAGAGCCGAGAATAGACAAAAATTGAGACGGAAAAATTCAGAAATTTAGAGAAGAAATTTAAGGAAAATTTCTAAAAAGCAGAAGTATCTGTGAGAAGAAAACCATAATTCGACTATTTCACAGATTTAATGGGTTTTTCTAGGTATTCTCTGATATAAATTACAAGCTTGAGCTTTCGCAGATAGTTTAGAGCGGAAAGATTGCCTAAATGAACTTCCAGATAAGGATGAGGTTGAATAATCCGCCGACAAACTGCGTGAACCAGGGATAAGGTCCATGCCTAGGGAGTCCAGAGGCCTAAAAGCCAGGAAGGCATTAGGTCGCGAGGCAGGTGAATGAGGAAAAGCCTTGAAAGGCTGCAATGACGTTAACTATCATGATATTTTCCCTTCTGGGACTGGAACACTAGAGACAGTCATAATGAGTAGGTATGCTATTAATTCCTATTTCGGTCTCTTGAATTTTCTCTGTTTGGAGGTATTTCGAAGAAAACAATTTAAGAGCCGGGAATCGACAAACATTTAGATAGAAAAATTTGAGAATTGGAAAGCAGAAATTTAGGGATAGTTGAGTAGATAAGTAGACTTAAGTATCTTTTGAATTTTCACTGTTTGGAGACACCCCAGCTTATCACAATGACCAGTATGTCGTTAAAAGGACGTCCAATTTTGGACCACTTTGGTCTCATACGACTTTTGTCCAAAATACAACGTCGTACTGAAGACATGTTTTGGACATTCAGCCGACGACAGTCTTACTAACGTCCTTCCTTATTATATCGCATCAGTTTCTCAATAGTTTGTTATTAGTTGTGTTTTAAATATTGACAATTTAGTGCTGTTATCTGTTATCGGTAGGTACCTAATATCAACATATTTTGGTAATTTCATTTAAAGTATAAACCCTCAATGATTCTCCAATCTTGGAATTATTTTCGACGTTTTAAGTTGGCCTTTTGGCCGTTTTAAGTTGGTTCTTTCGACGTCTTAAATCGATAGAGCCCGTCCAAATTAGTCAGAAACAACTCTAACATCAGTTACATTTGAATATGTCGTCGATGAGAAAAAAAAATCCAAAAAGGAAATCTAATTTTTGGCTCTGGACATTTTTTGGAATCTTGACATGCTCATGAATAATTGCTCATATCTTTTATGATATTTGAGAAAATTGCCTACAATTAAACATCATTGAAAAGAGTATTAAATTCTCTATAAGCCGTGCAAAATTAGTTACTGTCACTTGTGAAGTTTCTGAGATATTGAGCTTCAAAGTTGAAATTTAGTCGACATTTTGCCCAAAACTTTAAATTCGAGTGAGAGATTCCCGATATTGCTCAATCTGTTTGGGAAATTGATCACCCGAGTACTTGGGCACATCATAGCGTCTATACTCCTAAAATTGGGTGTAAAATTTAGTTTAAAAAAAGTATATATTATTGGATAAAAATAATGGTATACATTATAATAGGTGCAATATAGCGCTCCATTGCTGGAGGTGAAACAGGCTAAATCGTTTTTTCTTCCAAATTGGTGAGATTCCTAAATATCAGTTTTATTATCCACAGTTTTCAAATTAAATTCAGGCAGTGTTTCAATTGATTTGCAATTTCCAGTTTTGTATGTGTCTTTGCGTTTGCCTCATTGCTGAATCTTCTTGTCATACTACTCATACCAGGCTCAGTTTCTTCTTCCGTATTTCTCTTCACGTTGAGGTAATTTTTTCGGTTATAATTTTTTTTAGCATATCTTTAGGAAGCATACAGCGACGAAAAGAATGTTTTCCTCTACAGTTAATAAAGCATATGGGTCCAGAAATCAATTTTCTTAGCTTGTCTTTCTTCATTCTGAGCTTTCTGAGCTTAGTATCCACATGAACATCTGGATTTATTTGATGTTTTCTCTGGTTGTGTGACTTTATGGAAGGTAACTTTGAAGACGCGAAATTGACTTGATTTAGTTCTTCTGCAATTATGGTAACATTAGAAATATTGCCAGAAAATAAAATACACACCTTTTTCTTTTCTTCCAAGTTAGTGAAATCCTTAAATACATCAGGTAGGAATATTGTTCACAATTTTCAAATTCAATTTAGGCAAAGTTGCATGTGTCCGCGTTTGCCTCACTGCAGAATCTTCTTATTATACCAGGCTCTTTTTCTTTTTCCATGTTTCTCTTCAAGTTGATCCTAGGGTCTGAAGAAAATATTGGATGTGACTCCATGGAAGGTAACTTTGAAGATGCTGAATCGACTTGACTTAGTTCTCCTGCAATTATAGTGAAATTAGAAATATTAATTGGCAGAAAATAAAATTTTCCTCACAATTCCTACACACCTTTTTTTCTACCAAATTAGTTAAATCCTTGAATACATCAGTTATATTATCGACAGTTTTCGAATACAATTTGCTGAATCTTCTTGTTATACCACTTATACCAGGCTCATTTTCTTCTTCCATATTTCTCTTCGTTCATCCCAGATATGGGGCCTGAAAAAAAAAAATCGTCTATAGATCTAGGACATTTACATTAATACGTTCATCATGTTTTATAATCAGCTGCTTTATGTTTTTAAAAAACAATAAGAACCTAGGCATTCTTCTCTTTTTTTTTGGAATATAACCCTAAACCTGATAATAAACAATAGGTTGGTCAACAAAAAAAATAAATAAATATAATATAAACAACGCTGTATTCGATCGCTATTTTGAAAAAATCTTCTTTGGTTTTAATTTGAATTAAATTAAAAACGTTAATCTCTCTAGATAAACGGCTTGGTAGTTTTTCTAATGGATGTTTTCAATAATTTGAGACACCAAATGTTTCTGACAGTTGTCAATACCATTGAGCATTAAGGGCAAGTTCACATTCAACACCGAGATATTCTCTCAGTTGTTGGCCATCTATAAGAACAAGGTTATATTTAAACCCTTTATGTAGAAGATGACATTCATCTCTCGAGAGATCAACGTCCCTTAAATTTACAAAATGGTGATGGCAGCCTTCCAAAGGCTTCCAAAACTATTGACCAATCAGTTTTAATTAAGCTCGAGGGATATGGATTGGAAGGCTGGGCTCTTCAAAAGTGCACTTCTTGCTTGAGAAAAAGATGTCAGTCAGTGCATACAACCACTAGTTGGTGAAATTGGTGGAATTTATTATTATTGAGAACTACACTAAGTATCATAATCACTGGCGAATTTGTAAATGGTGTGCCGACTGTTTTTTTTTTTGGCGTAACTATTAGACTAAAGACTAGCATAGACTAGCTCAGGTCAGGAGCCATTTCGTGCCGTAAAAAGGTAGAATGGAGCAAGCTAGGAGCAAGCAAGGCCGCTTTCCAACTTAAAACTTGCGTAGGTTTGGCACCGCGCGCTTCGAACAGTTCGAACCTCGCAAGCTTGAAGCGCCGATGTCAGTTGAAACACGCTCTTAAAATCTCAAAGGGGGTGTGAGCCAAAAACGAAAGTTTCAGTGCAAAAAACAAATATTTAAACCGCATCTTGCTACGATGAACCGTTTTCCAGTTAGGGCGGTTTGAACCAGGGATAGACTATGAAATCTACTTTACGCGGTTTGTCTACTCGTTGTCTACGTATTGTTTACATCTACTTTTTTTTATGTAGACTATGTAAACTATGTAGACAATGTAGACAACAGAAAATTTGAAATTTGAGTGATTTTTTTGAAAGTTTGCATTGCATTAAATTTATATTGTATCAAATTAAACATTATCTGCAGTTTAATTAGGCAATCCAACGACCTGTCCAAATGGCGTCTGGTTGGCAAACAATAAACAAAAAACATATGTTTTTTTTTTGGCACGATTAAGCCTAGTACCCATAACAGCGAAATTCGCTCTTTTTTGACATTGCTTCGACAATTTGACGTTTTATGCGTGAATCAAACGTCAAATTGTCGAAGCAATGTCAAAAAAGAGCGAATTTCGCGATTATGAGTACGAGGCTTTATCAATACACGGAGCGAGTACTCAAATCTGACACTTTTCTGACATCGTTGACATGTAACAATCCGTATTCTAACCTCACAAAAATTTCAAAATGCCGGCTGGTTGGCAAAAGTCACGTGGTTTGGATTCCCGAATTAACTTCACAAAGCAAAAAACAAAACAAAGCAAAAACAAAAACATAACCTTAAAGGCCTGCCAACTGTCAAAAATTGCATACTTTACGCGTTGTCTACATATTTTACACGTTGTCTACATAAATTACATAGTTTACATTGTCTACGCGTTGTTTACACCAGACGTAGACAATCTTTGTTTACGCGTAGATGCCCATCTCTGGTTTGAAGTGACGAACGCCTACGCTGTGACGTCACATCGGCTTCGGAGGCACAGGTAAAACACGTATGAAATTTTCGAAAACAATAGTCAACGATCTCATTTTGAGCAAATTGCAACCACTTGAAGTATAGGGCACGGTTCACTGACGACTGAACAAACAGATGGCTACGATTTCGGCTGTTAATCGGTGTGACGTCACAAATTCCCCCAAAATTTATCTTCATAAGGGATTTTTTCGGCTACTATTTTGAACATAAGACTGCGGTTTGACGAGAGATCATAGATTTTTTTTCTTGATTTAAGTAAAGTCTATACGAAGTTACTTGGACCAGGCCTAAAATAGTGGTCTGGTCAATATACTGCATCATATATTGAAAAATATAGCAAAATTTATACTGATTGCTCCTCGTTACCGTTGGAAGCTAGACAAGTTAGGGACGGATAGTTCTGATTGGTTCCTAGTACACGTTCGATGCCAGTCAACGTTGACTCGATAAATCTGATTGGCCATTGCCAATTTTTGATTGGCCGACATACTGTTTTTGTTTATTCCACTTTGTGAGGCGACATGATTGTCGGTATGAGAGACAGTGCAGTGCACTACCTACTCTAGTTTGTTCGATTAGTTTATTGATTATTAATTTTAGTTGTATCTTTTGAAATTACGCCGCCCATGTTTAACAAAGAAAAGGCCGACTTATGAGGGGATTTAGTTTTTATACTAGTCCAAGTGACTTCGTATGAACTTTAGCTTAAGTTGCTTTTTGGATCACACCCCCTTTAAATATTTCTCGCATTAAAATAACTTCTTTTATTTCAAATTGTTTATTGTTTTCCAAAGCTTATGGATGTTATTATGTGGGTTATACTCGGTAATTTGATGATTGCAGATGGAACACGTTTGTGCACGCAGATGTTCGAGCCATCTGGAAAGCGGCTCAAGCTGACTTCGTGCAAACTTTGCGTCTTCCGATTTCCGAATAAATAAACCTCTGTACAGCCGTCACAAATGTTCAAGGCTTGATATTGATACATCAATAATTTTTTGAAAATGATTCTTCCCGAATATACAGGGCAATGAACTATAAATTATACATTCCTGGAACGATGGTAGCCGTCACTAAATAGCTTTGGACACACTAAGAGAGAGACAAATGCCATATCCGACAAACGGTCGGATCCATTTCCAATTACGTGTAGCCAATATAGTTCATTGGTACAGAGTGGCCCATTTTCGAAAAAAAAATTATACCTGTTTTAGTCCTGAGAAACGATGTGTAAGGAAGAGACCTTTCTCATTTTCCTTACAGATATAAAGGTGTATAAAGTCTTTTCCTTCATATTGTTCCTCATGACAAAAGCAGTTATTTTTTTCTCGAAGACTATTAGAGATAAACCTGTATAACTTTTATATCATTGAAACTATCAATATGCATAGGTATAGGCTGTCCTATTGACAAAAATCGGACTTTGGTCAATGTCAATACGAATCGGCGCCACATGGAAAAAAATTGAGAACGTTACTGAATTCTGCATAAAAAAAGTGTTTCTAGAACGTTTTTACGGAAATCAATTATTTTCATGAACAAAAAAGTTATGAAGGTATTGCTCAAAATCGAGAAGCACCCTCTGCGGTTAAAGATATTGTTACGCTGCGCTTTCGCCAGCGTATACAGAATCCATGCCTAAAATTCCAGGATTTAACAAGAATGGATTACAGATATATAAAGGTAATACCGGCCTTTATTGCGATTGCGATTGCTCTGTATTTGTCAGTATTATGGAAATAACAATATGAGCGACTAAGACAGAGCAATCGTTCTCTTGAGAACACTGTTTCCCGCGATTACGAAAATACGACGGGTCCTGCCTACTGCTGTGTCCTTATTCTTGAAACAGGGGTATGAAAAACGTCACTTGTTTCATGGGACTTCTAACCCATGAGAGAAATAATCAAATAAATATAGGTAAATGTTCTTATTCTTGGTACCTAATAATTACCCAACCTCTTACACCAATGATGAAAAACTCCTTTCCTAAATTCCAATGAAATTGTTGTTTTCGTAACTGCGACATCAGAAGGGTAACCTTATATCTTAAATCGAAATGTCCGGGAAAGTTGTTTATGTATTCCTACACAATATTCGAAAAAACAATTAAATTTAACGAGTTTTACTTGGCACAACTTATGAGGCAGTTGATTAATATTCAAAAATCATTTAAGAAATAATATAATAAATAAATGAATGGTTCTATATTTTTAGACGTCCTTTGTTACTTCCCAGGAAATACAAATGAAAAGCATAGGTCTTAAAAATAAAGAATTTCAATTAAATATCAAAAGTCAATAGTAGCCAAAATAAATGGAATCAAAAGTCAAAAGCTAACATTTTCAATCCCTCTCGCCAGTCTCGCGGCTCCAGGAATCCTGTGAAATATAAAATTACAAAAACAATTATATTCGCCTTAAGCTACCGATTTTCAATCTATCTCGGCTCCAGGAATCCTGCGAAGAGTACAAAAACGATAATATTCGCCTCCAGTTACAGCATTCATTTCTATTTCTTCGCTGGCCGCGGTAATAAAAACCGTTCTAAATCACGGCTTAAAATGAATCACGATGACGTCAGTCTATTGTCGCGCTGACGTAAGCTCTCAGTCAACAATACACGGAGCTTACGTCATGCTGATGGAGGATTGCCGTATGTGACCTTTTTCTCCTGCCCTTATTCGTCACCGCAACTGTTTTATGCAACATTAACATCAATAACTGAATATATATTTTCGTTGAGACTTAAAAAGAAATGATAAAATTCGTCATTAATTTACTTGAGTAGGAATTATTAGATAATAAAAATAAAAATCAATACCTACTTTTTTTTCTATGTAGCAACACGGTGAGTTATTAGGCGGCGAGCGGTGGTCCATATCTTCTAAACTAATGGAGATCGAAAAAAAAAGTTGAAAGGAAAGTTGTAGGGAATAAACATGAATACTAAATTCTTAAAAAAGTAGTCGTGATTCAAAATTATGTCTTCCTAAATGACTATCCTTGGATTTTTTTCACATTTTAAGTAACTACATATTCTCTCAATACAATATAATAATTTTCCATAGTTATCTCTAGCGGTTACCTTTCGAGAAAAAAATTAATTCCCAAAATTTTAGGCCAAAAGAATATCTGGAATAAGTTGCGAATTATCGCCTGTATAAAATAATAATGATCTCAAATTTGAGACAAACAAGAGGGATTATAATTTGTTGTCTAATCTCCGGTAATATTAATATTATACAGGGTGGCGTAAATCTAATGATT